CCCCCCCAGCCCCGTCCCCCCGGCAGCAGCAGCGCCCTACGCCTGCGGGCGGGCAGACACCAACGTGGGTGCTTCCCCAGGGTCAAAACCTCAAGCAAGGTCAATGTTGAATGAAACAATTTCCTCAAACGGCACTTACAGAGAGGCAGGATTGACCTGTAGGATGGAAAACTGGAAGGACTTTCCCTCTGGTGTCAGTATCTGAGATTATAAGAACCACATCAAATATTGGGAATGTTGGTCCGATACTAAGTTAGACTTGAGCTATAACTTCTGAAGTTCTTCTGTGTTCATCTGAGATCTGTATTTGCACGGCACAAAAGAAGATAACATCTCTTTATACAAAGAATTTATTTTACACACATTTACCTACAAAATATACAGCAGTTAAAAATAATGGATGGGCAGAAGAATTAATGGAAAAATGACAGGAGACATTTCTCAATGTCTCAAATGACAAGGTTACATCAATAGGCTGCCTCTAAAAGCCAGTCTACCTTGTAGTAGGAGTTAGGAAGTTTCAACAGCTTTGCAGTTTTAGTCAATTAAAAGAGTCTGAAACATTTAAAAAGGCACCTTGAACAATTTAAACTCTTAAAAGCCTTTACAATTTTAGCTATTCAAAAGTTACACTTTATGCATATCCACACCTTGTTTTTAACACTCTGGATAACAAGCCCTGTTATTTTATTGTGGCACTCTGCGTTTTCTTCACCAAATCTTAAGTCACACATTTGCAATACTAGTTTCATATTCGGACTATCACAGCATAAAAATCCACTCAGAATGGTCATGTGGACTTGAGATACAGTACAACCTTACAACCAGGAAGATACAGGCATATTTAAGACAATCTTTAAATTATTAAAATCTTAAAATAGCAGTGTTGTGAACCAGATCAAACAAGGAGCTACAGATGACCACAGCAAAAGTGGTTGGTGGACTATACATACAACTTGACAACTGGGATCCTTGATACATTTGCAAAGTTCTTAAACAGTAAGACCAGTTTTCTCCAGCACAGACAGTCTTTCTGCAAGCCTTTTTAACCTGTTAGTGACCAGGAGACGAGGACAGCTGTAATGAGTAAGTGTGCTAATAAAACATCATGGGAATGGTAAATGTTCCGTTCAATACTGTTCATGAGAACGAAAAAAATCCATACAGCAAATATTACTTCTTTTCCTGAACGTTGGCAATGATCTGCTATTTACAATAGCTTACAAAGACACATAACACAAATGAGGTTTGATTTTCAAGTTCAGCGTCATAGCTGATTAACATACTTCACCTGTATGTTCTGTTTGAGCTGAAGTAAAAAAGTGACACTAATACTGAAAAAGAGGTAATCAGAAGTAGCAAAAGCACTGATAATATGATAACAAAGAATTTGGATAAATATTCAAGAAAGTAATATTGCACACTTTCACTGTCAACTGTGTAAGACTTTCACTCCCAGGCAGTGACAACCAGTCCTGTTTTTTTGCTGTCATACTACCTTTTTGGTTTCCATGGCAGTGGAAAAAACTGAAGGAAGACAGCCCTTATTGAACATGAGGCCTAGGTTTCAAAATTAATTTTCCAGTCTGCAAGAGAGGAAAATAAAAAGTTTAAACCTGAAAGGTGAGCCCAACAATTGCACTTCCAACTCAAGTTTACCAGCTAGGTTTAAAATAACACACAGAACACAAATAAGTATTCTACATTCCAGCTTTACAGACATACTGATTTTTTTAAGGTGTATAAAAACGCTATTCAGGAAAAAAACCAACAAACTAACAATAAACCAAAACCAAAAAACAACACGTGTGTCTTTTCAAATTTCTTGCATTTTTTAAAAAACAAGGTTTAGGCAATGAAGCACTAACACTTACATCATCACAGGACATGTTATATTCTGCCAAAACAGTTCGACATCTGGCTGCTATACTGTGTGGACTGTGTCAAGGAAAGCAGCTAACAACTGGGCAGAGAAGTGAAAACTGAAAAAGCAGTATTAGCATAGGCTTCAATAACAGCAGTTAACTACAGCACTTGTAAGCTGTCAAACAGCAATTGAAGGATACATTGATGGGGCCACCACTCTTTTATGTATTCCAGCAAAGAACAAGCCTATTAGGGTAATACAGCTAATTGTGAAAAATGGGTGATTCCAAAGTGATGTGAAAAATGACACCTAGGAAAGAAATCGGATTAGTCCCACTATATAAT